TATTCGTATAAATTGAATAGCGACAAACTAGCAACGGGAATGTTTTCTCGATCTAGCTTAAGCCCGGCCAACCCACTCGCCGAGATGATGTTTCCTTGTGAAGGGTGAAAGTTGGGAAGGCCAATGCCATATACTCCTCTTAATATACTCCTCTTATATTTAATATGTTATTTCACTTTCTATTATGCCCCGAATGGCACTTAATAGGGGCCCAACTCAGTCGGTTAGTTAGCAATCTTCCTCCCTTTCGCCATATTCAGAAATAACTTCGTGCTTACTTGCTTTCTTCGATATGTACATCAACTAGGGTCCGCAGAAACACACACACCTTCAATCTAAAACCCCATGTTCACGGGGCTCTTCAATCCCGGTTATTCAGCCTCGCCACGCTGGAGACAGGACATCTGAGCGTATACATATTGAACAGAAAGAAGAACTTGAGACTTTGCGACGTAGGTTAGTTACGATCAAACTGCGGAATATCTAGCCACTATAATATTCTTCGTTATATCGTCCGAGCTTGGTTTTATCTACGCCTCGGCTCGCAGATGGAACCGTGAGTCGAACCTACCGAAATATCCGAAGGCTTCATGGTGCGTGGTTAATTCGTCTGGTAAAATCGTCTGGTAAAATCGTCTGGTAAAATCCAGCTAGACGATAAAGTTTGTCTGCTAGATCAGCCTGCGACCTGGGTTACCCTGCGATGATATTTTTTACAGTTCGCCAACGCGCAATTATTCGTCATACCTCGAAGTATAGTATCTCCTCATTTACTAAAAAAAGAAGAAGAAGAAGAAGAAGAAGAAGAAGAAAAATACATCGGACGAGTAGGTAAACTCTTAAGACAATTAGCTCGTTATTCAGCGATTGCTACCACGAAATCCGGCAGCGTGGATGTCTCTAAACCTAATCTTGCATGCAGCAGGGCCCTTTGGTCCTTCGCACGCTACCTTAGCTAAAGGAGGCACATACCTTATTAGGAATTTGTATAAAATCGTAAAGTCGTATTGAACTAATCCGCCACAAGTGTAAGATTTCAACGACGATGTTATGTAATATAAAGTTCTACTATAACTAGGTAGTTAGTTATTAGATAATTGATTACTTGTAAGACATCTCGGAATCCGTACGGGTTCTAGACCAGAATACCGGAGACAAGTGGATCAAAGAACGGAGCGGGCTTATAGCGGGCTTATATTCGGCGGAGGAATAATACCCATGCCCTGCTGGCCCTGTCGAGCCACCGAACAAAGCACCCCCCCGCATAACCCCATGATCACAAACAAGCCTAGCTGTGTCTAGAATGCATACAAACAGTCGTTGTTGACAAATGAGCGGCTTTCGACACATGCCTCATCCGGTCTTTCCTGTCTTTGGTCTCTAATAGTCTCCAACATGCTGTCATCCGATCGGCCTAGGTCTGGTTCAGGCGGGGCTGCCTGCGGTGATCTCGGCAGGAAGATGGGACGAGCAGAGCATACCTTCCCGTCTTATATGCTACCCAATGCTATGTAATGCACATTCACTACTGTACTGTTTACATCACGCGAGCTTATAGCATCACCGCTTATGCGACCCAATTCACATACAAGACTGATGTCTATAAATATAGTCTCAGTTTATTCCCGATCCCTTTACCATAGGGTTGGGTCTTAATGGGCTAGGGTATATCTAATAGATTAATTACCTATATATTGTGTCTCGGCATGGCGTCTCATTTCCTCTTTGTTTTCGGCCTTATAGTTTGGGGTTTGGTGTCCCTAGGAGGTGTTAGCGCCCAGTCCTGCTGGCGAGATACAAAATGCACCGGCGCAGAGACAGCTGCATTCCCTGGCGAATGGGAATCAAATATGTTTGCTCCCTCGTCACGCACCGTTACCCCTAAGGCCGTCTTCCGGTTGGACACTCGAGAAAACATTTCGATAGAATCAGCTTCGTTGACCAGCACCAACTCAAGCATTTATTACGACTTCGGTCTCGAAGTTGGAGGTGTTGTTACGATTCAGTACTCCGTGTCGTCTACTGATGGCGAGGGAGCTCTTGGCATAGCCTTTACGGAAGCTAAAGATTATATTGGACCGTTCTCAGACAAGAGCGCAGACATATCTGAAAGGAATGATGGCGCACTATACGCCAACTTTTCCTCAGCCGGAAACCATACGTATGAAATGCCGACTGAGCAACTCCGTGGGGGTTTTCGATATATGACAGTGTTCCTTACTGGGGCCGCATCCTTTGTTACAGTCACCGGTGTCAGTTTAGAGATATCCTTCCAGCCAACTTGGTCGAACCTCCGCGCATATCAGGGGTATTTTCATAGCAGTGACGACCTGCTTAATAAAATATGGTATAGCGGTGCCTATGTGAGTATATATTAGTTGTATATGGATTCCCTATCCTCGCTACCAGCCTTTTCTACCACCTAGGAGCCCGTGGAATGAGTCTTGTAAAATGCAGACGCTCTTCTCTAAGACATCGTATAATAAGACATTGTATAATCGCTAACTCCACTTTCTATAGACTCTGCAGACAAATGCTCTTCATCCCTTGACTGGGCGAGTCTGGCCTGCCCCGGAGAGCCAATGGCTGAATAACGGGAATATTGGCGTAGGCGACACTATCAACACCGATGGCGCAAAGCGTGACAGGACCGTCTGGCCCGGTGACATGGGTGTTGCGATTCCTGCCTCGTTCTATAGCACTGGCGATATCGAGTTAGTCTTAGACTCCCTATAGTTCTGGAGTATTGCTCATCGTATTTAGGAGCGTAAGAAACTCATTGACGACGCTGTATGGTATCCAGGTCGGTACTACCTCTCATATAAGATTCGCCCACGCGAATTCTCTTCGCGTGAACTCAATCTCACCGTACGTATAGGAACAAAACGGCCTGCTCCCGTTTTCCGGCCCGCCACTTCTCGCTAAAAATAGCGATACGTACCACATGTAAGACCTCATATATTGGCGGTTCGTCGAAAGACTTACACTAAGATACTTATTTCTCTAGGTGGACGATGATCGGGACGTATAATTATGTCCTTTATTCTGGAGACGTGGATTTCATTCAAGGAATATGGACCAAGTATCTCTTAGCAATGAGCTTCGTTACTAACCAGCTCGATTCGTCCTTGGGCTTGCTCAATATCACGGGTTATACAGACGACTGGGGTCGCTTTAATGTTAGTAGTACGCAGGCTTCGGCGCAAATGCTCTATTACCGGACGCTGATAACTGGCTCTGCTCTTGCTACTTGGGTCGGCGACACAACTGAGGTGAATTCGACGTGGCTCGAAGCCGCTGCAAAATTAAGAGGTATTATAAATGCGCAACTTTGGGACGGGAAGTCTGGTGCATTTCACGACAGCCTCGAATCTCGGGGGACTAATACTGGCTTACATCCTCAAGATGGCAATGCCTTGGCAGTGCTTTTCGATGTGGTGAACACCACTTCAGATCAAGCGCAGGATATATCGTCCTCCTTGATTAAAAACTGGACCCCGATCGGAGCAGAAAGTCCGGAATTAACTGGCGAAGTGTCGACGTTTATATCTTCGTTTGAAATCCAAGCGCATCTGTTGGCGGGCCAAGCGCAGCGGGCTTTGGATTTGATTCGTACTAGCTGGGGTTGGTACCTAAGCAATGAAAATGGCACGCAGTCTACCATGGTCGAGGGTTATCTGGTGGATGGAACTTGGGGCTACCGACACGATGCTGGATATGAGGAGAACTACTCGTATACTTCCCACTCTCGTAAGTACCTAATTCCTTAAATTTATAAGTTGACCCTCCTATCCCCATTCTATATAAGTAAAGGGGGTTCGAAAAGAGTAATAATTACTGACGGTACGTTATTCTAGATGGATGGGCTACCGGACCGGTCACGGCGTTGACGGAATACATACTCGGTCTCAGTGTTACTGGTCTCGCGGGCTCGACTTGGCGAATTGCGCCTCAGTTTGGAGATCTATCACATGCTGAAGGTGGCTTCACAACCAGTCTGGGTAAATACTTCGCAAGCTGGACGGTAAATAGCAACGGCAGCTATACATTAGACTATAATGTGCCTGAGGGCACCTCTGGCGTGCTAGTACTCCCGACTCCCAACCAGAACGAGAAATATAAGGTGTTGTTGATTGATGGAAAGAAAATGTCAAAGAATCTTGGCAAATCTGCCGAAACAAAAGGAAATAGGCAGCTGTACATCTTCAGGGGAGCAAGTGGGCAGCATCGCATCGAGGTCAGTTAGGAGGCCTCTTGGAGATGTGCGGTGTTGCAGGCAGAAGCGCCTACGAAGCCTTTCTGCAGGAGAACCAAGATGCTATGTATGTATAGAGAATCGTGACCCAATGTAACACTGAGGAATGCGCACCAATGATAAAACCAGATAATGTCTGTTGGAACAAAATATACTTTTTTATGACTCATGATCGGCTTGATATATCTATTATATCACGCCATTTTAATTAATTAGAAACATATAAAAAGACACTCGTTCTTCTAGATTTAGATTCCATGTTGTTCTTATTCTTATCGTTGCTGAAAGCTGTAAGTTGAAAGGACTAACTACCTAACCTAAGAGGCGTAGTGCCGGTCTCGATAATACATGTACAATACAATACATACCTAGGTATGTATAGATCCCATAGCGGGATATGCACGTAAGAGAACCACTATAATCAGCTGACCGCGACTCTTTCTCGCGTTAAGTACGTTGCCCCGTTGCCCCAAAACGCGTCGGGCAATTCTAGAAAACAACCCGTCCCGCCTTTTTTCTTGCTGGTCTGATGTCAAATCCGTTTCTTCCATCCTTTGATATAAAACAGACAGCTCAGCTCACCTAGGTAATCAACCACTAGTACTCGCTGGTGCAGATACTTCGTTCTATTCTACACTTTTCTTTTTTCCCGTCTCATAATTTTAAGATATCGCATTCATGAGGAATACATTGAATTACTGACACTACCCCCTCATAAGACTAATCCGCGTTGAATATCTTCAATATGGCGGAGCAAGAAGAGTCCGGTGGGCTTTTTAGCCTCTGCGCATTTACTTTCGTCCTTAGTAAGGAGTTAAATGGGGGATTGATCGCCGAGGTACGCCGTGGCTCTTGATGAATCCATTGTTGACAGCTAATACTCACTATTAAAGCTTTCCGAAAGTCTCGTCAAGTTTGGTGGCTCAGTCTTGGCGGCGAAACGTGATGGTTTCTTGCCACTCTCGCAAGTGACCCACGTCATCGCCAACTCGATCGATTTCCCCCAGTATACCGACGCGACGGGTATGATGATCCCCGTTGTTAAGTCTAAGTGGATCACGGCATCCTTAGCCAAGGGGAAGCAAGCTCAGATACGGCCCTTTACGCCTGATCCTCGAATGATCTTCTCCGACGTGGTATTGTCCTGCGCTGATATCCCGCCTACCGATAAAGAAGCTATTATTGGTGCTACAATGGCCATGGGAGGAATGGACTCGGAGAATGTCACCAAGCTTACTACCCATATCTGTGCTCTCTCCATGGACCATCCTAAATGCCAGCTGGCTATGGATAAGAGGCTCAAATGCAAGATTGTTCTTCCTCATTGGTAAGCATATTCTGCATTTTAAATATATGAGGTGATAGATCTAACCTGATCAAGGTTCGACGACTGTTTCAAGCTGGGAAAGCGAATTGACGAGAGCCCGTATCTTTTACCTGACCCGGAGTACCTACGTGCCAATCCCGAGGATGCGATCCGAGTACCCTCAAGCCAACACCTTGAGGGTGCCACTTCTGCTCGACCAGACTATCTACCCAGCCCCGACGATGACGCTCTAAGATCTCGTCCGAGCCTTACCGTGTTTGACGGAAAAAAGATCATGTTGTCATCAGACTTGTCGATTAGGAATCGGCTCAGGGATATTATTTTAGGACTTATTAACGATGGCGGGGGTGAGATGACTGATAATGTCAAAGAGTGTGACTGGTTCATCTGTCAATATCGCGATGGGCCCCAATACATACACGCCGCGCAGGCTGGGAAGATCGTTGGAAATCTGTCATGGTTATATTATCTGATCACCTACAACGAATGGACGTCCCCTCTACGGCGTCTTCTCCACTATCCTGTTCCGCGCGACGGTATCCCCGGTTTCAAGGACATGCGGATTACGGTGTCAAACTACGGAGGAGAAGCTCGTATATACCTGGAGAATCTGATCATTGCTGCTGGCGCAATGTATACGAAGACTATGAAGGCCGATAACACACATCTTATCACTGCCCGAGATAACAGCGAGAAATGTGAGGCTGCTCGAGATTGGAACATCAATATGGTCAATCACCTTTGGATCGAAGAGAGCTACGCAAAGTGCGAGATGCAAAGCATAACAATACCCAAGTATACTCATTTCCCGGCTCGTACGAATCTTGGCGAGGTCATTGGCCAGACATTTTTTGATGAGAAGAAACTACGAGCGTTATATTATCCCGGTGGCCCAGAGCAGCTTACGCCAACATCAAAGCGGAAGCGCAAGATTTTGGAGATGGCCAATGAGAATTCGTTCTCCGAAGGCCCGGCTGAAGGTGTTGCGATTGGTCGCCAAGCTCACAAGGAATTTGACGTTATGAAAGATACGGATGCCGAATACGCGCAAAAAACTACAGAAGTATTTGGAGTACCAGCACCGCGAAAACGTAGAGAATCGTCCGAGCTAAAGACTCCGGCTAAGGGCCGTCACGTCCGTGCCGGTAAAGAAAACGAAACACCTTCTACAGTTTCTTCAAGCCGAAGCGCCAAGGATAAGGCATTAAATAGGTTATCGGTCCTAGCGCCTGACATTGCTCTATACGAAAAGGAAAAGAAACGAGGGCTTAAGGATGGCCATGGCCTCTGGGGTGGCAAACGGGCAGCTGATTATATCGACCGAGAAAATCTAAACCGCCATAGTCTCTCGAGTCCAAGTACAGGAGGCGAAGAGAAACAGATGAAGTTGGAGAGGCGGCCCGCGAAAAAAGCAAGACCGACTCTCCCGGATGTTAGTATGAGGGTAGTTCTCACCGGATTTCAGCGGTGGGTCAATGAGAAATATAAGGAGGATGCGGACCGAGTAAGTTTAGCGAACGCTCATCTCATCTTATATTTGTCTAACATCTTAGTAGAAAAAGTTACGCGACCTCGGCATTGCCGTGGTAACAGATGGTCAACAGTGCGACTATCTCGTAGCTCCACATCTAGTACGAACAGTCAAGTTCCTTCGCAATCTATCTAAGGGCGCTACTATTGTGTCCTCGAGCTGGATTGAAGAATGTCTAGATACAAAAGAGCTTCTAGACCCTCTGGATTTTATCCTCAAAGACAAGGAGAACGAGAGGAAATTCGGCATCAAGCTCGAGATCTCGGTCCAGAGAGCGCGAACGAACAAGGGTAAGCTCCTCTGGGGCATGCCCATATACTGCACATCTAGCATCAAGAACGGCCCACATGGCTACCAAGCTATCGCCGAGGCCAACGGCGCCTTATTCATGGTGTACGGTGCGCGCAGCGGGACGACGATCAAACCCACAGCGCCGGAAGACGACGACGGGGAGCCCGAGCCGGTGTACCTACTTAGCAACACGAGCCCCGAGGAGAAGAAGCTATGGCAGAAGTTTGAGGACATGGCGCGCAAGGGTAACATGGAGCCGCGTATCGTTGCGGCTGATTGGCTGCTCGATATTGTTATGAGCCAACAGGTTAGCTTTGACGAGAGGTACCTGGTGACGAACTTCTTCGCATGAAAATGAGGCTAGGCGTTGGTTCGTGGTTGTGGCGGCGAATACCATTTTTGTGTTTTATCTGTTTGTAATGCTTGCGTTATGAGTTCCGCGTTTCCGCTGCATAGCTAGGGGTTCTGGACGGGGTCGGGGTGGCGTTTTGGAGCATGTTCTCTCGCATCTTTACTGTTCTTCCTTTTCCGCGGCTAGGGGTAAGTACCGCTACCTAACCTATCTATCCCATCCACCGCGCCATGCTATTTCAAGTAGCAGCTTCGTACCCATACAAGTAAGCAGGATGGGACTTGCTTGTTGCTGGGTCTTGTATATATTATGGAACATATACTTGAGCACAGCAGTTACTAGTAGAGCAAATCATGGTTTAACTTTAACTTGGACTTGGACTTGGACTTGGGTTGGTGCGTGTTTAGAAGAACTTGACACCTTGCTGGTCTTCCTGTCCAAAGATTTGTGCTTTGCCGCGCTTGACGAGGACTTGTAGCGCTTTTTGGAGGAGGTCGGGGTCGAGACCGTAGAATTCTGTGATTTGTGTGTGTTAGCGTGGGTAGACTTTTCATACTCGTAGCTTTTACCATGTTCCTATTTCTTTTCCTTCGTATTATAGGATAAGGAGGTAGGTTAGGCATATACGAAAAGAGACCATCAAACTCACCAGTCCCCCTCGTCGCCTCCCCATCCGTCAACTCGTACAACGTCAACACGGCGCCCTTCTGCGCCGTCTCGTCGACCCACGCCTCGACCAATGCCGCCCACTCCTCCGGCGTCCGCCAGTACACCCAGTACAGATCGCCCGCAGGGCCTCCATTTGCATTTGCATTTGCATTTGCATTCCCAGTCCCAGTGCCCGTCGCGACGGGCTCGGCCCGCCCCTCCTTGCGCATGAACTCGAAGACTTGGCGCGCGTCGGACAGGCGCAGCGAGCGGCCTAGCTTGCGGTTGCGGAAGAGGTCTTCGTAGGGGGTGCCGTCGTAGGAGAGGGAGAGGCGGAAGAGGCGGTGCTGGCGGGCGTAGGAGAGGACGAGGGAGGACCACTTCTCGAGCTGGGAGTGGTGGGTTGTTAGGTTTGTCTGGCGCGTGAAGAAGGGGGGGAAGTGGTATTCGCGGGGGAAGTCGAAGGGGGGCGGTTGTTGGGAGGGGGGGTTTGTTATTGTGGTGGTGGTGGTGGGTGTGGGTGTTGAGGACATGGTGAGATGGGTGGGTGGATGGATGGATGGATGGATGGATGGAGTGTTGGTTTAAGGGGCTGAGTAGATTAGGGATGGATGTGGTTGTGAATTGGTATGATATGGTATAGTAGTTGTTGCGGCGGGAGTTGTTGCGGCGGGAGTTGTTGCGGCGGGAGTTGTTGCGGCGGGAGTTGTTGCGGCGGGAGTTGTTGCGGCGGAAGTTGATATGGAACCGATGCTTGGCGGGGCTCTAAGTTGAGCCAAGCTGTTGTACTCCCCCTGGAGCTTCGAACCCCACTATGGATTCACATGCTCGCATGTGAATGAGCTATGTAGCTATTAAACTCCGATTAGGTAAGCAACTCGCTATCTACATCTACAATATAAGACCTTCTAACCTAGTTACTAATATCATAGGTATCCTCCAAGCATTATGCCAATTTCATCTTATTCATTTATAATAAGTGTTACAATATTTATGAGCATCCGATTGGGTTAAGTAGTATTTAGTGTTGGAGGTGGTCTTAAGCTAACGACATTTACCTCACCGAGATGCATACTGAAAACATATGTAGGGAATGAGCATATAATCATTATAATACTACGGTATTGTTCATATATGGCTATAAGGGACCTATTAGTATAGGATATCTCAAGCCCATTTGTCAGAATAAATATCCCTTCAAGGCAACTTCAAAACATCAAATTTCTGTTGTTACTCATATATTGAAACCTGCGCTCTGTCCTATCCACGAGCACGCGGACATACATACATCAGGCACCCATTCCCACCCGTATTCAATAACGTCCACGGAATCCTCATTACGGTCATCAATCGCACCCATCCAACCGAACTCCGTAAAGCATAGCATCGTGAAAATTCAAACGCAAGTTCAGCCGGGCAAAATCAAATATCAACACCGCGGGTATCTTCCTGCATCTCGTCGCTGCCGAGCTCCTTCTCGAGCTCGTCAGTTACGAAGCCCTCGTAGTCTTCCAGGTTCTTCTGGATGTGCACCTTGAACTTGATGATGTCGTTGAGCATCCTCTCGATCTCTGTGTGCAGCTCCTCGCGTAGCGCGTTGGCCCGGAGGGTTAATTGCTCGTATCTGATTTTAATGTTAGTATATATATATATTCTAAACAAAATGGCTCTAAGTTGATGGAAGACATACTCAATGTTCGTGTTCATCTCCCTCTGCTCCATAAGCTGTACCGATTCGGTGAGTTGAGCTCGCATCTTGGCGAGTTCCTTCTCCATCTTTTCGATCTGCGCATCGGAGGCAAGTTTTTGCGTCGTGGTGACCTAGCGCCTATTAGCAAGTAGTCGTCGAGGTATGAGCCATGATATCTGCATACCTCCTTTGTCTTCTCATACTCCTCTTCTGCTGCCCTGACTCTGTGTTCCAGAGCCTCGACCTCGCTCCGCTTGTCCTCGATTGCCTCCTTAATGCCGTCAAGCAGATCGTGATCCTTCATCATGGCATCCATAGCCGCAGTCCGTCGCTCCGAGATCTCCTTGCGCAAAGCTAGGAAGTTGTTCTTAACGTGTCCGCGCAGTTCCAGGTTGAGGATATGTGCTGGCTGGTAGCCTGTCACAGGATCGGCAAGTAGACGTTCGCTTCCCCCTCCGCCCGAGTATGATCCCTTCATCATAGAGCTTGTAAAGTCCGACTCGTTGACAGTCACTGCTAGTTCGTATGCAACGCCCTTGGCATTGACGGCCGTCGCAGGAATGAGACCGATTTGATAAGCGAGCGTGTTGTACTTGTCAACAAGCCTCTCTAGCTCGTCGAGCTTACGGCTGGCTTCCATTTCCTTCTCCGCTACCTTCTTCTTGCCTTCGTCAAGTCGCTGGGTGGCGGACTCTATACCTTTTTGTAACCTTTCTCGTTCGGAAGTCATGCGGTCGATATCCTGCATGCTGATACCTTGGTCGTCAACCTCCTTCTGTAATGCGCGGCGTTCTTCCTCTGCTTCCCTCAGTTCCTCCATCAGTTTGTCAAGTTCTTCTTGTAAAACTTGGATGCGGCTTTCGTATTTGTCAGATCTCGATAAAGCTAATGCATTATACTCCTCGAACTTGACTTTGTCCTCTTCCATGATTTTGAAGTGGTTGTCGAGAACACGGGGATCTGGAGTAGACTTCTCGAGATCCTCGATCTCCTTGAGCAGCCTAGCATTTTCCGCTTCGAGCATCTCAAGTTCCGATAGGTACTTGGAGTTAGATCTCTCGAAAGCCCCCGCCATATCTTCCACATGGGGTGCAAGTACTTTCTCGGCATCATCGTCACCGGCGTCCTCGTCCATAGCAAGCCAATCCCGGTACGCTGAGCTTAGAAAGTCGAAAACAATATGATCGCTAATAACGTCTATTCCACTCTCTATACAAGCTTCATCGTAGCGATTAGACGAGTAGCCCTCAAGCATATGTGCTAGCTGCATCATCCAATGGAGTAATCCCAGAAATGTGCTCCAGTTTTGGCCACCTACCGCGGAGATTTGCGATTTGGTGATGCTCTTCTCGTAAGGATAACGCAGCTGCTTTAAAATCGGAGGGACCTCTTGGTCGATATTTTTCTGGAAGCGATAGCTCGGGTCGATACGGTGGTATAGCCATTGGAACATGTAGTTAAAGTCCTTCTGGGTTGGCGATTTGATTATATTGTGTGATAGAGTATGCTTCATCTCCATTTCGAAGTTGTGTTGCGATAAGTAGTCCAAAAGCTCCTGGCCTATTCGCGCTTGGAATGAGCGGTCCTTCAACGGTCGTGGATCGCGCGGTACACCAGCTGCTTGGGGCGCCTGTTGGAAAAAGCTCTGGTGGTTTCCAGGGCCGTTTGTCGAGGTTCGGGAACGATAGACACTGCTCCTCCGTTCGTTCTCCGAATTTCGCATCGGTACGCCACCGGACGCATAACTTTTTATTGTAGAGCCGGGAACATTCTGGAACGAGGAGCGCTTCACCGAAGACATTCCCATGTCGGCTAGGTTCGTACCGGACGACGATCGGGAGAACATATGCTGACTAGAACGCCCGAGCGCAAGGGATTGCCTAGATCCCGATACGGATCGCATATGGCTACCTCCAAATCCCCCTCCATGTCCGATTGAATTTGATCTCTTCATTGCCGACGCGGGTTGTGGTATAGCAGAGTTAGGATTGATGCCACCAAGGGTCTAGCGAAAATTAGTTAGCTACCTAAGGTATGTCCATACATGTAATATATTCCCGTCGCGCTAAAGGGGCTACAAATTAGGCGCATCGCATCGCATCGCATCATGTATCATACCTCTCGTGGTCGCCGAACACTCCAGAGTCCCGTCTCCTGGGACATGGTGTTCCAGTATAAAAGAGAAATGCTTGTGGCCTAATGATATAGAAAGCTTTCAAAAGGGTTGTACGTCGTTAGTTGAGTATTGGGTATTGGAGAAATAGAAGCGGAAATTTAAGTGGTTCAATTCTGTATCATGCAGCTTGGTCAGTGCCCAAGACCCCCCGGTCCAAGTATGTAAACAAATCGCAAACTGTTGTAATTGGTCCGACTAAGACTGCATCAACAAACCGAATTAAAGTACCTAAATTATGTGGGGCGACGGGGCTGTTCTTGGCATTTATATTAGCTAACTGACTGCCTAGAATTTATTAATTGTTACCTAAAACGTCGCCTGCTACTTAATTGATGGTCATTCTTGAACGTTGCTTGCTCATGCTTGCTCATGCTTTGCGACGACAACTTTGTTCGCTATTTATACCATAATTCTACTCATATAACTCGCACGATATTTGCTCTTTCTTTGAGGACATGATGCTTTTTCCTTAGGTCGTGATGGTGCGGAGAATTTTAATTCTCGCAGGTGCACCAGAAAGTCATAAGCTGGACTGGAAAGAGTCAGGTCTCTTAAACCAGTTCTTAGACCCCATATCACAGTTTGCTCGACTTGACACTTATCCAATCTCGGTTACCGAAAGTACTGCTATAGGACCTTCCCCAGATGTTGCTGTCTGGAGATCGATACCTCTAGAAAGAACTGCATTACCAACTGGCTTCTCTCAGCTTCATCAAGTGAGGCAAGATTATCATGGAGACGATGGCTTTTTCACGGGTTTTACGCCCTCGTTCGAATCTACTTCTGACTTGCCAGGAACCGGCAAAGCAAGCCAGGAGTTATTAGAGCAATTTTACGACCACTCAATAGCAGTCCACGATGATATGCCATCTTCTCAGCTGCCTGTGAGTTTCAGTACTGACGGATCTTCGTTGAACACCACCGAGGACATAAGTTTATATGACTCTATCCGGAGTAGTAACTCATCCACCCGCCAGGATCAGCCTCTAATTGCCCAGACAACTCATCTCAGTGATCTCGAAGATGTTCCGAGCGCGTCGCATCTGCAATCCATCACACCTCAGACAATGACTGTCAACCTGATCGTCGGCATAATATCCATTGCTGAACCACGTACCGTGAGAACCAGGTGGGGCTCAACAAATTCTCTAATTGAGCTTCTCGTTGGTGATGAAACCAAATCTGGCTTCAGCATCACTTTCTGGCTTTCATCGGAGCTTAGCGAATCATCTAGCAAGATTCTCAGAGAACTTCGCAGACAGGACATCGTGCTTCTCCGGAATGTCGCGCTAAGCGTCTTCATGAAAAAGGTGCACGGACACAGCTTGAGAAAGGGTCTGACCAAGGTCGACCTCCTCTATAGGAGAAAGCTGGACAGAGGTGATCAAGGCGGATTATATAGTATGAGAGACTTGTCATCAACGAAGTCAGCACATCCTCAGTTGCTAAAAACAAGAAGGGTACGAGAGTGGGTTATGAATTTCGTTGGAGATGGGGGCGCGGCCCTGGGGAAGAGAAAGAAAAACGGAAAACCCATAAGAAGTTGGGATATGCCACCACCTGATACGCAGTGAACAGTCTTGTAATGTCCACTATCTAATCTAATCTGCCTCCTAGTCTTCTCCAAGTTATATGCATTGTAATTTAAGTCATTCTTGTCACGATAGCCAAGGCATAATGAAGGAAGAGATATGCATTGTAGCGCTGGTTTAGTTATAGTCTTAAGTCTTTTAAGTCCTCTCGGCGTGGGAGCTGGTTACACGAGAGTGTAATGCCCTTTAGATTATAAAACCTCTGATTGGCTAAAATAACAAAGGATCGTCCTCAATCATCAGCAAAGTAAGTACCTAGGTACCTACATATGGGGTATTGTATGCACTGTATGCACTCATATGCTTGTGCCTGACATCAATTGGCCAATCCACACCAATAGCTGCAACTACGTCTTAGCTCAATATTCACCGCCTTCTATTTAAGGTTTCAATTTACCCCTCCATAGAGTTTTTTTTACGCCGTCCACCCCGCCAAATGGCAATATGAAAATTATCGGCCCTAGGACAAACATTCGTATTGTACATGTATACTCGTCTTCCGCGCATGATGCATCCTTACATAAACCTATAACACGAATTCTTCAAGCTATTTTATTTTCTTCTTGTGCCTTGTGATCTTACCCTGGGCTGATCAGGTTAGGTCTTTTTTTCTTACCTCGGGTTATCTAACCCCTTTTCTTCATTCATAAGTTCCAGCTGTGCGCCTCTATCCCACCAGGTACGTTTACAACTCGCTGCGCGATAAAATCATACTTTGACGCCTATCATATTTATCAACCTACCCGAGTGGCTTCGCACAACGGTATTTCACAATGGCGGGCTACGATTATTACAAAACGCCTCTGGATTCCCGCTACTCCAGCGAGGAAATGAAGAAGTTGTTCAGCCAGAGGAGCAGACACAGCACTTGGCGCCAACTTTGGCTATGGCTTGCCGAAGCCGAGAAGGAGCTCGGCCTCGAGTCTAGTAAGTGATCGATTGCTTTTATTTGCCTCTAAGCTCTTACTTGCGTATTTGAATATTCCCCCATAGTAAATTTATAGAATACCATTGCTAAAGGCTTATAACCTTTAATACCGTAATAATTACCTTTATTGACTTAAATGCCATAGTCACGGACGAAGCGCTCGAACAGATGCGAGCCCACCTTACCGTGACAAATGATGACTTCGACATCGCTATAGAAGAAGAACGTCGTCGCCGTCACGATGTTATGGGCCACGTTCATGCTTATGGTATTGTAGCGCCTGCCGCAGCCGGTATTATCCACGCTGGGGTATGATCATCTTATAAATACCTATTGCATGACCATATAAATGCTAATGACCCCCAATAGGCTACTTCATGTTATGGTAACTCGTGACGTATTCCCTTGTCTATAGCATCATTATTAACCTTGTTGTAGTTACCGATAACACTGAATTGATCCTCATGCGCGATGCGATAGATCTTATTCTACCTAAGCTCGCCAAGGTCATTAGGGTAAGTCAATATATAGAAGCGTAGGCGCTCATATTTGTCAGATTATAATACTAATATCATATAGTTTGTGAAATGAAGACCTAGAACTATTTCTAAGGGATATTAACGTCTCGTAGCAACTTATCCAACTTTGCACAGAAGTGGCGAGAGGAGCCAACTCTGGGCTACACGCATTATCAGCCTGTAAGCGTTTTTAAAGACAATTTATCATATCTTGCCATCGCTAAGTATTACCAGGCCCAGATGATTACAGTCGGTAAGCGAGCTGCGGAATGGACCCAAGAACTAGTCATGGATCTTGAAGACATCGAACATGTCCGCCAAGAACTTCGATTTCGGGGAGGTCAAGGGACAACGGGTACCCAAGCGTCATTCCTTGAGCTCTTTAACGGCGACGAAGCTAAGGTCGATCGACTAAATGCTCTCCTCTGCGAGAAAGCTGGATTCCCCAGCGTAAGTGGGAACCCCAACCATAATGAAAAATCTTCTAACCCTAGGTATTACAGTGCTACTCTATATCTACACAGACATATACAAGAAAGGTCGATCTTCGCATGTATGTATTGTTGAGATATTCTTTCTCCTTTAATATATCCGAAAAGCTAGAGATTTTGATACATTCAACAACGAATCCATCGCTTCTAAAATATACTAGATTTATCTATATACCGTAAAAGTGTTTACTGACTAATGGTTATAGCTCTAATGCTATCGCGGGCCTGGGTGCTACTGCACAACGTATCACATCTGACAGTAAGCAATTTACCAATCTATAAAGCTAACAGTGCTATACTGGGAACTAACATTCATTAGTCCGTCATCTTGCGAATCTAAAGGAATTGTCCGTAAAAAGCTGTCTTTAAGGATCATGTCGCCGCCAGCTAACACTATAATCAGGGAAGAACCATTCGAGAAAGACCAGATCGGAAGTAAGTTACACTTCCGATTCAAATAATATAATTTACAGTAGCTAACATTGATATATAGGCTCTGCCATGGCATACAAGAGAAACCCCATGCGGTACGTGTAATCTCGCTACTTTTACTATCCCACTGGAGTATCCGAGTGAAAAGTTCTGATATTTCCGCTACACAATATGGTATTAATTTACTTAATTTAGTTCTGAACGTATCTGCTCGCTCGGTCGTAAACTTGCGAGCCTTCCAGTCAACTTCTCCAACACATTTTCGGCGCAGTGGCTCGAAAGATCCCTAGAGTAGGCAGCCCCCTTTCATTACCCTTTTCGCTTGTTTTGGGATCCAAGACTCTATTATCAAGCTTTCTTGAAAGTAGTTACCCCCAAGACAGGTCTTAGCTCTTTGATTCCCTTACTCCGAGAATTAATCGCTGACTTTTGGTGTTATAGTGACAGCGGTGAGCAGCGGCTTCTTCCGCGTTTAGTATATACCACTAATGTATAAATTTGTATAGCTATTCGTCGCATAGACATCCCCGAAATGGTGAGACTCGACACCATAACTTCATCCGGAAGAAATTGAGAGCTGATAATTCGTAGTTCCTATTAGCTGATGCTATACTAATCGGCCTTGACAACGTGACCAATGGCTTGGTTGTTTACCCAAAGCGAATAGATGCGCGGAACAAGCAGGAGCTTCCCTTCGTACGTCCATCACAATCCAGGAATTACCCTATTTGATGCTTGCTTAAGAGCGTTGATATAGAGGCTATCTCGACGTAATGTTTTACCGGCAGTCTACTAATTTCGGGTATTATAGATGATTACCGAAGCTATTTTGATGAAGATAGTTTCTAAAGGAGGTTCCCGACAAGAAGCGCACGAGAAAGTCAGAGTTCTTTCTCACGAAGCTAGCCATGTCGTCAAGCATGAGGGTACGTACAACATATCATAACCTTGGTTTTCACCTCCCGAGTCGCTCGTTATGCATCTGAATATATACTAACTAGCACTCATAGTACGTTGTAAACCTTTGATATAGACGGATTTAAACCCCATTTTTCTTGAAATTAAACATCATCAAGAGCCGTGGGCTATTGATTACGTACAAAGTTAACACAGTACAGGGTGGCAATAATGACCTTATCGAGCGTATGAAGAAAGACGAGTATTTTAAAGATATCTGGGACGATATCGACGCAATGCTAGACCCCAAGCTTTACATCGGTCGAAGCACCACGATAGTATGTGTTTATTTTTCCTTAGCGTCTATATTATAGGGCCCGTTGAAGGCGCTTATGAGCTTCATACTCATAAGGGTGTCCCTACGTTTTTGGACTATATACACGCTCTACATGTTCTGTTACTAATTATGAACAATAGGTTGACAGGTATTGTGGTAAAGGTGGAGAAATTGAGAAGAAGCTGGAGCCATACAGGGAGTTCATTGCAAAGACTGAGACTGCGCAGCTCAACCTCTAATCGCTGTATCATACATAACCTCTGGCGTGGCGTCTCTTAGGGTTTTATGCGCCTCCCTAGATCGCTTGTCGTCTATCTTTCCATTTCTCCTTTTCAAAATATCTGTGGTTTCTTCGATATATGAAGCACGGAGTTTGCAGGTATGACGCTTTGTTCTGTAGAAATAAAAATTTAATTCGCGCGGCTGTCAGAAAATATAACTCCTGAAAGCTGACGTCTGCATATAAGCGAGACGGGATACAACTTCTTAAATGGGTACAGCCTTGCAGCATCCCTTAATGATAAATCAATAATTGGACGCCATGCTGCCGTATTGCGACTCCCGAGAGGGGCAGTGCATATCAAGTTCCGGCATGGGGCAGCACACCAGAATGTTTTTGGAAATTCGTAACTCGAGGCTGTTCAGCCGCAATTATAACTCTTTCAGTCTTATGTCTTAAGTCCGAAAGCTTACCTACTTAGAACCATGACCATATTCCCCTTTCCCTTCTTTTTAACTCTGCTCGACATTCTTTTCTTCTGTTTTGCTTCCTTTATCTTAGTTTACAATCGAGTTCTAGGAGAGTTACATATCTATAATCTATGACCTACCTACCTTAGTTAGTCATTAGGTATGGCAGCAACAGCGAGTCTAGCTGGTGATAATATAGTAAGTCAATTCCCAAGAGAGATTATTTGTATTCACTTCGATCAGAGCAAAGCTGATTAGAACAATGCCAAAGACACCCCAAATTACAGATAATGAGGGACGAGCTGAGACCGATTCTTCACAACAACCCTTGACAACCTCCGTGCCCGATGACGCATCTCTCTTGGCTTCCTTTTGGAAGGACAGATATCCCAACACTGATAACGTAGCGTCCAGCCTCGGTGTTATACCGGACTTCATAATGCTCGATGAAATGCTCATCGACGGTACGCTGAATATGTCCTCCAGTGAGCTTAGAGAATACACAGGAGCGAGGTCTTTCGAATGGCTACAGAAAGTCTCTCAACTCCGCACGTCTAGTGGTTGTGCCATATTCAAATATTCTCTCGATCCAACAAATGCTCTGGTATCATCCGAGTCTCTAACTAATAGCGAACCCCTTGTTCCTATTGATCATGGGGGCGCTCCTAGTGGTATTGTTTAGTGAGTGGCCTATCCAGCCTAATTGCAAGAATTTTCTTTTGAGATCTTTCATATATTATGTTTATGGCTAATGTGATGAAGTTGTATCCAACCATCGTGGGCAGGCACGGCTAAGGGTATTTTAAACTACGTGGACTTGGCGCTGTTTTTTAACCTCTTCCAACCCGAGTTAAAGAATAAACGGATGAATGCATTCTTGAAAGGTGGTAATAGATCACTTTCGAATGTTCTATACACTTTTGTTACTCTTTATTCTCGACACTACGATGTGGAACAACTGAAACTTATAGGTGATGGTTCTGTCATGGAAAACAACATTGTAACCCTTCAATATCATTTACGCTATTTCCCGATTGATCTACACCGATCACTAGAAAGCTTGGACTTTGGGATTCCTTGTGATAGAGAGGGCGGAACTCTCCGGCTCTCGGGCAAGAGGTTAAAAATCTCAGAAAGACGTACTTCGGTTGTCTTCTTGACAGACTTCTCTAAAGCAGGTGCATTCGTCATTACTATCTGCCACGACAACAGCGCGGATCGTGTCGATATCCCCAAACAAGTCATTGAATCGGTCTATGGAGCACAAGAAGTGATTCTCTTCCAGGAAATCAGCATGCGTCTACTAAACAGGTGGCATGGACACTGGATTCAGACTCTGCTTGATTTGGATGAAATCCTCATAGTCAAGGTGCGATCCACACATTTACTACCTAAATAGCAAGACGAAATGCTAATAATCTTGAGCGTGCTTTTATTAACAGGTCCAGGATATCATTGAAGAAACGTCTCGTAAACATCTTATGTATGATGACGACGACCTGCAAAGGTCCGAGCTGTATTTTAGCATGCTCCAGTTCCTATACATCTTCTCTACATGTATCCAGGATGATACAAGTATGCTAAAAAATGCGATACATCGTACGGATAAGTGGTGCGGCATTATCAAGCAAGAAAAACAGCATATGAATATTGAACATCTAAACCCGGTTATTTCGACCGTCCAGCATAACTGGAAATTTCTCCTTGAGAGACTAGATTCCATTGAGGAAGACCTAACCGACCGCATCACACGAAAAACCGATCAGATAAAAAGTCTCCGGGACGGTGTAAGTTTGACCAATCTGGCCTCAATATATTACTATCTTGCATTGAAAAACATACTAATATTAGTGCCCCAAAGTTGTTCAACGCACAATCAGTTCGGGAAGCTGTAAGGAGCAGACAGCTCAACAGATACCTCTTTGTCTTTACGATTATCACCATTATTTTTCTTCCACCGAGCTTCGTGGCGGTATGTTGTTCTTCATCCAACCTATACATAAGTGTGATTTTATAGATCTGACTTAGGCAGACATTTTATGGGATGCATCTTTTCGACGGAGCTGGCAGTATTGACGAAACCCAGAAAAGTTTCTGGAAAGTATTCGGAAGTATTACTGCTGTGACATACACGCTTGGGGCACTTGCAATTACGAGTTTTAGTTGGAAAGGACGGTGGCTAGAATCATCGTACCGTGAATTGTTCCAGAACGATGGGGTTCCGGGGATATTGAATATGTATTACATCCGATGTAAGAACTTTGTCACTGGATATGTCTTACAGCGAGGAAGAAAGTCCCAAAGTGACGAAGAAATCGCTTTGGAGAGCGAATAGATGATATAACTAAATATAGGGGCTTCTTGTAGATACCTATTTGTTTCTTCTATATTAGTATTAATAAAATGGCGGGCCCTATTTCCTTCTTATCATTTTGGGGAAAATATTATGGCTTTTTATTCTAAGTATTATACATATCCCTATATAGCAACATTTGTAATAAGGTATTGTATAATAGTAATAAGGGGGAAACATGCGTGATGCAACAAAGATATGAAGTACCCAACTACGAGAAGCAAAGTAAAAGTAGGACTTCCCGGGGAAAAGAATAGACTAACTGAAACTATGATGGATCAGTTAATCATATAATATCATTTCTATCAGGTAGTCATCCATGCTCGATGAAGTCGCATACTTTGCTTGCTTTTCTTCGTCCGTCGAGAACGCTGAAAAGGGGTAGCTTGTGAACCTAACATCAATAATAATCACACTATTAAACAGGACAATAAAGTCAAAGCATCAAAATCCCTATATATCACTATAAACTAGAGGCTAAACGGGGTAGTCTTAACATGTGTCATATCAATCCTACCGCAACGATTAGTTATGCATGAAATATTCAAATACCAAGTTATAGGACTCACCATGATGTCCCCTGAGAAGAGAAAAAGCTGGACAGTCGAAACTGCGCGACATCCGTATTAGAAAGCTGCCGCGAGAAGGAAGCGCGGGCTTTGGTATCGGCCCCAGGACCATAGTTCTGATACTCGCCAAGCAGAGCCCCGTCGGTCCGCGGGTCCGTCTTCGACCAGACGGACCACCCCGCCGGCGCAATCGAGCCGTCCAGGTACGTTTTGATATACGCGACCCGGGAGTATTGGCTATACGGACGGCCCAGGAACACGGATCCGGCAGCCGTGTTCGCGGCCGCGGCAATGGTAGACTGGTCGAACACGAGGCCGCCGGGGCTGCTGGCCGACGCTCGCTTCATCGCCGCGATGTACCCGCCCTTGGTATTGGGCACGATTGTGGAGTTGAGGAGATAAACCGACCCGGCGCCCCAGATGAAATCAACGGACCCCTCGATCAGCGTGTTGTAGGCGAATACGCTGGTCCCGGCGTTTGTGTCGAACGTATCCTGGTTCCCGGTGACTTGGCAGCCGTAGAAGGCGGCGCGGCCGTTGTTGCCGATGGCGAAGCCCAGGGATGCGAAGTTGCGGGTCTGTCCGAAGATGTTGTTCAGGTTGATGTTGTAGAGCTGGATGTCTGAGGCCCGGGAGTACAGGGTCGCGGAGTCGGAGTTGCTCTGGTCGGCTTGGGTGTCGACGCCGTGGCTGTTCTGGAGGGTGACTTGGTTGTGCTTGTTAGAGGATGTGTCCTCGGTGTACCCGCGGAAGATGGTGGTGCCGGAGCGGTTGAAGACGATCTGCTCTTTGTAGGTGCCGGGGTAAACGAATACAGTTACGGCTTTTGTGCTCGACACTTTCTGGATGGCGGCGATGGCTGCGCTGAAGGTTGCGTGGACGGATTTCCCCTTGATGGGAGATTGTGATATAATGTAGTCATCAATGGCAGGCTCCGTGGCGTTCACATCAACAGTGTTGGCATTCTTGGAAAAGCCCTCGGCGGGAGCTACTGGGTATTTAGAAAGGATCCCAATAGGAGTTATTTGTAATATGTTCTGGCTACCTACAGATACGTTCGAGCACTGGTGCTATAGATGCCGCATTTGATATACCGGCTACGAAAGCTAACGAAACAAAGCAGGTAGAAATAAACTCTACTATGAGAATAGCTTTAGATGCTAGCATCTCGGCGACTTGGGATACGTTTATTGGGGGTTTATGACTAGCTACGGATTGACGAGGAAAACAGTTGTTCTATAAATAAGGCTTCAGGGGCAGCTTTATGTGAGATTGAGCTATCGAGCAACCTGTTGTTTACGGTAGGGCTGAAAACATTGTCTTCTATCTGGAAACAGGCTGTGATTGACGGGATAAATCGCACTTGAACGATAAAGAGCGGGGTGGTGGGAGTGGTGGGAGTGGTGGGAGTTTCTAATATGAAAGATAGTTACCATAACACTCCTTGCATATAACCGGTGGGTTGTTGAGGCTGGAGCTTGTTGACTGTGTCTTTAAGTTGAACTATACAGGTCATGATAGTACCGATGGGAGACGTCTTTGCTGTTAGGTTTAACAGGAAGACTCTAAGAAAGGCAAACTAATAGTATACGATTCATTCAATCGAATGAGCGATCAAAACTTTAGGTTAGCTGAGAAGAAACATTAACTCTTCTAGAATCAATATGAATCATCTTCTTAAGTGTAGTTTGACGTTTGGCACGGCCATCTTTCTTTCTACATCTCGCTGTCTTCTCTTTGAGGAGTATATCCACGATGAATAACTAGGTAGTTGTGTAGATTTATACTGCAACTTTAGTTGGTCGGACTAATACGACTTGGCGACCAGTTGACATTTCCACTTTGCCAAAAATACATGACCCCATAAGAGGCTGCGGACCAAGAGCCATAGCAATTAACCTATTTCAATCTACCATGTAACAGTGCGCAGCCAAGATCCCCCCGCATTCTATATAAAATAGTTGATAATATTTCCGCAGATACCTACTGTTTCGGTCCAAGACAGACCGAAATATCTATATTGATGCAGGTACGGTCTTTTAGGCAGTCCAGACCTCGCAAGAATTGGTGACGATACCCGAACGTTTATGTAGAGTGACATGGCACTATTCCCACTATATTTTGCAATGTCTCCCTCAGTCCTAACACGCGATTTGGCGTGAGATATAACCCGAGTTAAATATTTTATTGCTAAAATGGTGTCGCTGAAGGCGTTGACCTTCGCTATTCTAGCCTCCCGGGTAAAGGCGCTGCTGGAGGCTACAGAGACTACAAGCCAATATATCCTACGAAATGACGACCTGTCAGTGGCCGTGAGCAAGAGTAGCGGGGCAGTTTCTCAGCTCTCACTGGGAAAACAGGACTTAATAGGGGAGGGGAGTGGGAGAGGGCCGTATCTGGATTGTTCCTGTATTCCTAGCGGATTCTGGACCCCGGGTGGCACCGCTCGATTCAAGCTCATAAAGGGTACCGACTCGACCGGGACACCGTATGGCGGCGTTGTGATGAGCGATACATATGCGTCTACAAATCAGACACTAGAGCAGTACTGGTTTTTGCGAGAAGGCGAAACTGGTTTACATATGTTCTCTCGAGTTACCTATTTCAACCAGGCGACACCTTTCCTCCGAGGACTTGGCGAGCTACGTACACTCTTCAGGCCGAGCACAAAGTTATGGACTCACCTCTCCGGAAGCGAGGGCAATTGGGCGCCGATTCCCTCTGCTGACGCTAACAGTAAAGCTATCACGGTCCAGGACGCAACAACTTACCTCGGCAACTCGACGAATGATCCCTATGTAAAGCAATACTCGGATTACTTTACGAAGTACACCTTTGCCGAGGTTTGGCGTGATCATGATGTTCATGGACAGTATTCGGATGGATCGACTAGTTCTGACGGAAATACATACGGTGCTTGGTTAGTTCACAATACGAGGGAGACATATTACGGGGGTCCATTGCACTCCGATCTAGTTGTAGACGGCATAGTTGTAAGACTCCCAACTCTTTCGATTCAAACCTCGTGAGACAGATAACACTTACACTTTCATATTTGTAGTATAACTACTTGGTGGCTGGCCATCATGGCGCGCCGGTTCCTAACATCACTCATGGTTTTGATCGCACCTGGGGGCCGCAGTATTATCATTTCAACAAGGGTGGACCGAAGACAACCCTCGCTGAACTGAGGGCCGACGCGGCGCAATATGCAAATCCGGAATGGAACAGCGAGTTTTATGATAGCATTGCCCAGTACGTACCTAACTACGCGCCATCATCTAAGCGAACTACGTTTAAGGCAACGATCGAATTGCCCGCGGGCGCAAAGCGGCCCCTTGCTGTTCTCGCCGAAAACAAGCAAGATTTCCAGCTGAATGTCTTTGACCAGTCTAGCCTGCAGTACTGGGCGGATATAAATCCTGATACCGGAGTAGTAGAGATCCCTAGAGTGAAAGAAGGCACTTATAGGCTGACTGTGTATGCGGATGGGATCTTTGGGTGGTTCATCCAGGACGACGTCGAAGTCTCAAAATCCGGGAGCAGCACCCCTTTCAAGTTTCAATGGGAACCCGAAAGCGCAGGGAAAGAAATCTGGCGAATCGGTACGCCTGACAAGTCAGCAGGTGAATATAAGCACGGCTACGCACCGGATACATCGAAGCCTCTGCAACCCGAGCAATACCGCGTGTACTGGGCAAACTGGGATTTCCCGACCGACTTCCCGGACGGAGTTCGATTCAAAATCGGAGAGAGCAAGGAGGCCGAAGACTTCAACTACATACACTGGAGTGTCTTCCCTGGAAAATCTAACTTCTTCCGCTCGCAGCCGTACTACGAAAACGTGAACAATTGGACCGTCCAGTTCAATCTCACCGGCGATCAGCTAGCTGACGCCAAGAAGGCGACACTCACGATCGACCTCGCGGGCGTGAAAACGGCCAATGGGAATGACAAGTGGGCGTCGCTCCCGAATGAGAAGTACTCCAACGTACCGTACACCGTTGCCGCAAACGGCCGGGATGTGGAGACGTGGATCATACCGTCGTACCGTAGCGGTTCTTGTGGAGTGCGAAGTAGCGTCGTCTGTCAAAACTTCGGGAAGAAATTTGAATTTTCGACGGGGTTACTGAAGGAGGGCGTCAACGAGCTTGTCTTGAGTCTACCGTTTAATGCGACGAATACGGAGACGGCTTTGTTGCCGGGGACGATATACTTGCAGTATGACGCACTTAGATTCGAGCTTAGCTAAGCTGGAATGGTCGAATAAGTCTTATGTTGGCTTATTGTTCAATGGTATACTTGTGAGACATTGTTTAGTAAAGGATGTGATAATAAAGGGATTCGTCTAGTCACCGTATTATTAACATGTGGAAAGTCTAGTTCTTAGCTCTAGGATCTTAAGATCTTATCTTAGTTTAAGCTTGTGTAACAAGTAACTAGAGTTTAAATAGTTAGTAGTTATACACTTCACTAGTCTCTTTAGGGCTTTTATAGATCAAAGATATATCAAAGTCAGCAATACAAGCATCTATTTATAGAATATACTTTCCATACAGTAAATATTAGCATTGGAACCACTGATTGGCGGTTAATACATAGATTTCGGCAGTCGCAATGATTCGTGCAACTCTATTATCGATAAGCTTTTGAGATCGCTGCCCGCGTCTACCGTGACATGACGCGACGTCACAATTTCCACTCTCATTCTTAATTCCCCCCATATTTTTCAATCGTACGAAGTGCACATCTCGAATGAGCGATGCTCTACTATCCTATGCCGGCATCACTACGACGCAAAAGACAGCTTAGTTCGATACTCTGCGCGAGAGTTACGATCCTTTGACACCCGAAACCAACGCACCAACGAACTCCTGTAAGCGCTAGCTGCCGCATACCTGTGTAAAAAATAAAAAAATAAAAAAATAAAAAATACATGGATTGATGAGGCTCGAATGGCTACAAATAGATATGACGAGATAGCAGTGATGGATGAAGATATGAAAGGTGAGGGATACAGCAACCAGGGGAATCATGGATTTGGAAATATCGAAAGGTCACCGCTCTCGAAACCACGGAGTTTATCTGATGGCGGAGGCACACAATTATCGCCATCTCCACATATACTTGAAGCATCAAGGCGCACGTCAAAAGACGATACAGACAGCTCTCTAGTTAAGGATAGAAACCAAGAGACACCGGTATCAGCTGTTGTTGCTACTACTCCAGTCACACCTAGACGACCAGAGTTTCCTATGCGCGGATTGTCGATACAAATGCCACAGTGCGATTCTGTTTCGCCCGCTCAAACACCCAACCACGTCAAACTTGCCCCTCTTTCCCCTAAACTTGATCATTCGCAGATCTATGCTTCACCAACCAACATCCTACCTCGTCGCTCTCGTGGCCTTGATTTTTCCAGAGCCGCCACCAGCTTACATCATTCCACCCTTGCCGAACAATCCTCTCCTGATTCTTCGCCCACTATCGGCGGACGCGCCATGAATATTCCCGGTCGCGGGAATGGTGATTATGGTCAAGAACAACCCTCCACTTCGTTGTGGTCCATGATGGGTAATCAAGAGCGCATGAATATTTCTAGCTCCGTCGGCAGCGCAAACCACCTGGCGTCAGATTCATCCTCTAGCTCTGGTGATGACGACCTCATGGATGAAGAGATGGAGGATGCTATCTTCAGCACACCGCAAGTCTCTAAGGGTAGCCAGCAGCTTAGGAACCTACCATTTGGGTCTGGTAGCAACGTCGTCCCGTGGATGCCAGGGGCATCGCCAGCCTCCAATAGTCTTCAGGGCTTTAGAACACGGCCGCGCAGGCATCCCAAGAAAAGACTGCGCGGTCTAGCTGGACTAGGCTTCGGCCCTTCTGCTCCACCCTCCTTCTCTAAGTCGCCACCCAACAACGTCGTCAAGGATCTTAGGGACGCTTCTATTCCCCACAACCGAAGAGAAAGCATCAGCTGGGCTGCCAACCAGTTGCATATCTCGGGTAGCGAGAGCGACGACAAGTCTATAGACACAAGCGATACCCTATCTAGAGATGGTACGCGGGGCGTTGTTAAGCGACCCGTCACACGACGGGGCAGCCTACTAGTGAGTCTTGCTTCTTGCTATCTATCTCGTACTAAAATTATGTCTGCTAAGCACACCCTTAGCCAAAAACGAAGGGATTCGCGCGTATTCGTGCCGCCCTTATGGAGGAGAGCGCCCCGGTGGACTCAGAGACCCGTCGAGAGGCGGAAGTTATTCGTCAAGTCCGCGAAAGCGACATGGACCTTGAGCCCCGTGTACCACCTGGTCCGCTCTCGGCTCTTGATATTCCCAACATTTCTACCGCCCAATCCTCTCCAATCCTAGGGACCGCACAAGATTCTCTCGACGACATACCGGAAGACGATATGATGACCGACTCTGCCTTATCAAGCAGCTTCAAGCAACAGGCCCTGAAAAACTCAAAAGGTAAAAACTTCTGGGAAACCTTCTCCGAGACAAGCAGCGTCGCAGGTACGCGGGTTACGCCACCGCCTTCATCCCTCATGCCTAGGGGTTCATCGTCCGGGATGAGCGAGGACATAAATATGGACTCGCCATCCCTCTCAGCGGGCCCAGGCTTGTTCGGTTCAGGCCAACATGCCGGCGCGATATCTGGAAGCGAGGGCCAAAGATCGGATACCCCACAACAGTCGTCTCTCCCGCCGTCTATGCTGCAAGGAGGCGGTATACCACCAACTGCAGCTGAGATCACGCGGCGCATTAACAACAAAAGGAGGCGCGACGACGACTACTTTGACACGCATGGACTCAAGCGAAGAGCAGTCAGCCCGGGCATGAACAGTGTCCACGGGTCGCCAGTGACGCAGAGCCCGCTGCAGAGGGACGGGGGACCGTGGGGGCCCGGGTCTAGACCGGGAAGTAATCATGGCGCCGAGAGGGAGAGGGATAAGACGTCGGGGACGGGAACGCCAAGCGAAAATGGGAGCGTCGGCGGGAACGGAAATGGAAATGGGGGAGGAAGGATGATTAATGGCAAGGGACGAGTAGGGTTCCAGGGAATGGTGGATACGAATGACGGACTCATGCGCATGAGCATTGAGTAAGGTTCAAGTCGTGCCGTACAGACGCGGCAAGACGTCGCGGGAAGAAGGAGTTGTGGGAGAGGACAAATAGCAGCGAGCTGTGGGTTAGAACTAACTACGAGGGAACAGTAGTAGTATGGGCTTTGCCAGATGCAGCTGCGGAAGAATAGGGGAGCAGTTCTGCTGATACCGATACCCCTCGAGGTGTGTCTAGCATATCTATCTATTGCAAGGCGTTATGTTGCAGGGGCATACTCATGATGCATGGTAATTATTAATAAAATTACTTACTGTTATACTTGGCTGCGTGTTTATATGTTAGGCACTATGTTAAGTAGTCGTTGGGTGTAGGAATAGCGATGTGATGGAAGCCCATGTCTACTGAGATCTAATTTAATACTTAACTACCTGCTATATTCAATTATATCTCGAAGGAAAGCCACGCACTGTGTGTTGATGCTTGTAATCATACATACTCTACTCGTGGAGCAGCTGTAGTGTGTATTTCGTATACTAATATCAGCTATTATACACAATATCAACATTCTCGGCTTCCCGTATTTTTGGATTAAGCCACTACACGGCCGAGTCTACTCGATCGCCTTCTCCCAAGCTCAGGCTCAGGCTCAGGCTTAACTGGCTTCGCACCCTCCTTCTTCTGCTTGCTCAACTTCCGGGACGCCTTTGGGGCTGGCTTTTCTTCATCCTCGTCTCCCTCTTCCTCTTCCTCTTTCTTAACCTGTGCGGCTGACTTCGCCTTCGCAGTCCTGACCCTCTTACTTGATCGTTCCTCTACTTCTTCCTCTGTCTCCGCCTTACCCTTTACTGGCTTCTTGCCTTTACCCTTCCCCTTGCCCTTAAAAAACCGGCTTTCTGTCCCATCGTCCACTTCCCCCTCTGCGGACTCCTCCTTGACATCGTCGATAGTAGCCCGCCCCCTCTTCTTCTGCACGCTGGGAACCACACAGGTTGTCCGTCCGCCTACCGTGATATGGGTGATCTTGTCGCCGTTGGGCAGAGTAGTAGCGGAGTCTTTCTTGCCCTTGCCCCAGCGGTGCTTAAATAGCCAATCTTCCGGGAACTCGTCCGAGTCTCCTAATTTCTCCACCGCGGTCTCGCACACGTACTTGATAGCCTTGTATAATGTGCTAATGTCGGCGTCGTCGAAGTCGTCGCAGTACTGCTCCGGATGGAGCTTAGCTTGGTACATGATTTCATCCCCGACCCAATTGCCTATCCCGCTGACCGTGGCTTGGTCCAGCAGCAGGGCTTTGATAGGGACGTGTCTACGCTTCATCTTCTGCCGCAAGAAATCCTCGGTAAACACGTCTTTGTCGAGAACGGGATCTGGCCCGTTCTCAACTAGAGGCGAGTGCTTTCTAATTTCCTCTCCGGGGCAATCTACAAGACGGATGCGGCCGAAACGGCGGAAGTCGGTGAATGCAACTTCTACTTTGGGGTTGCTGTCTGTCTCAAGCTGGAACTTCCAGTATTTGGGGGGCCATTGCTCTTTGTCGTTTTTTGTCCTCTCGATGTAGCGTGTATATCCTGTTTGTATGCCCCTGATCTGAACCCAACCGGACATTCCTATTAAACACCTAGGCATTAATATGAAATCTAATATTTTAAGTAGTTGTTTTGACTTACCTAGATGCATAACCGGGTGTGGCGGTTTAGACAGTACCATCCAAAAATACTTCCCCTGACTCCCGACTTCTACGACCTTCTTCCCCGTGAGAGCCGTCTCAAACGCCGGGCCGCTCGTCCCAACTTTCCCAAATACATTGCTATCGTCTGGAGCTATCACCTTGCTGATGGTCTTGCCAGTTAAATGTATGCGGAGGAAATGGACGACGCGAGCGACTTTACACCGTTAATATAATATACGCGTCCGGGGTAGGTATACAATGTAACCCTTATAAGCTTCCAGTCTTACCTTCGGCAATCTCAGGCATGGCAAAGACTAAAAGGTTAAAAAGCAGATATGTGTAAGTATTACAAGAAAGTACAACTTCATTAATTATCCAATAGTTTCCATCAACTTAGAACTAGATGTTATAAATTTGTCTCTAACATGTAGCATAAATAATAAATAATAAATAATGATTAATAGATACCTAACCTAGGTAGATTGAATGTACCTAAGGTAAACAAAAAGGTACGTGCCTCAGCCTCATGTGATTGATCCTGTGGCTTCAAATCTGGCCATCTGACTTATTAATTAGATCTGATGGCCTCGACTTCTTGGCGGTGAGATCAGATGAATAGGTAATTACATAGGTACCTATGTATGTAGTGTGACCATCTCAATGCTAAAATCAAGAATCGACAATAAGAGGGATTTAAAAGTTACAAATATCAAATGTCTCATTGGATTCTCGTTATGAGAGAACATTGAAGGATTTGATAAGAATGTACCATAGGTACCTTAAATTATAAATGTCAGGTAAGCACTTGCATTTTGCGATATTAGCTTCAAATGACGACGGGTTAGTTCGCAAGGTTGTCCGAAGCAGACAGGTACCTACCTACCTAGGCTGAACTAGGTATGTACCAAGGTAAAGCGGAAGCAAGTATGGTACATTCTGGCATGAAGTCGGCAAATCTAGGAGATGTTCGGCCAATAACGGCTACCCCCCAAATAAAGAACATTAGCGGTAACGCCCCATTACAGACCTATGAAACACAGCGGGGGGGTTTTCTGGGACAGCGGCTGACAAGCCTGAACCTTAGTGGTTATGTGGAGTTGCAGCAGGTCGTAAATGGGTATGTACCTATAAGGTGGTACTGACATTAGCTCGCACTGCGCAGTGGTTGCCACCGAAATAAGTGCCCACAATTGCCCACTAACATCACTGAACTCCGTTTGCGTAATCCGGCAGAATTTTTTTTTTTTTTTTCCCGTTGCAGGTGGTGAGCCCCGCGGTCAATTGGATTCAAGGAAAACCATCCCTCCAATCTTTCTTCTCCTGTTATGCAGCTGTAACCAGACTTTCGATAAGTACGATCGCGCACATTTCCATCTAAAATTCGTTATTACAATCTTACAATCTTTATACCATGGATCTTCTCTAGGGTTTCATGATCTCTTTTGCGAATTTGTTCACCATCCCTTCAGCTTGAGACCCGGTCTTGTCTCGCTTTCCTTCTTCGGTTCCGTGTTCTGTGACCTCTTGTGACCTCTTCGCCTCCCGTCAAGCTCTGAAGCTCGACCACAGTGCCGCCTCTATACATAGGACTACCACCGCAATCGGACCAAAATTGGGATCGTTCTGCAGCAATAAACCTTGAACCTATCCTCAAGCACGGCAGCTACTGCATACGACGCCACCTATAACACCGTTGAACCCTCCTCTATAAACCAGCCATATATTTTTATCAAAGGTCAACCTTTTTCGTCGACACCGCCTTTTCTTCTCGTATTAGATCACCAAGATGGTTAGAAACATTGTCATCCTCTCCGGGAACTCGCACCCAGCCCTCTCGGAGTCCGTGTGCAATATGCTTGGAATCCCCCCTGGAAATCGTATATTGAGCAAATTTTCAGTCGGCGAGACTCGCTGCGAGATTCAGGACTCTGTGAGAGGCAAGGATGTTTTCATCATCCAGTCTGGAGGCGGTTCCGTGAATGACCACCTAATAGAGCTTTGCATTAGTACGCACCATAACCATAACTCAACCCCGAGTCCTCATACATGTCGAAAACTAACTAGGGTAAAATAGTGATATCTGCCTGTAAAACTGGCTCGGCAAAGCGTGTCACAGCCGTGCTTCCATTATTTCCCTACTCGCGACAACCCGACCTGCCTTATAATAAGGTCGGGGCACCTCTGTCGAAACCTCCAACTGAAGTCCACAAGGACAAATATACGTTTGAGAGCGTCCCAGCCACGCCTGCACCTGGAATCATTAAGAGCGCCAGTTTTAGCAAGGAGACCGACCTTGCTAGGGCTATGAGCAAAACTTCCCTTTCTAACGGCATCACGAATGGTCTACCTCGTACTCACAGTGAACACTATTTTAATGGTAACGGTAACGGTAACGGGAGCACGAATGGAGACATCCCTTCGGCTCAGAACTACCTCACGCATTCGCGTACAGGAAGCTACACTACCCACGACTATGAGAATCCCGCACTTATCTCTACCTTTCAGGCCAAGCCTGGGTATAAGAGATGGGTTGCGCAGGCTGGAACTCTGGTGGCAGATCTATTGACCTGTGCCGGTGCGGACCAGTATGTGTCTCCTTAGCTCGAAGGTGGATATGCTATTGTTACTTGGGGTCTTCTGTCTTGAAACCCCAGTAACTTTGTTTCCACTAGGTAGTTTTATTGTTTGGATGTCAGCTAACTTAAAACTGTAGCGTTGTTGCTCTAGACCTTCATGATCCTCAATACCAGGGCTTTTTCGACATCCCCATGGACAATTTGTACGGCCGACCCCTGCTGAAGCGATATATCCAGCAGAATATTCCCGACTATAAGGAAGCCGTGATTGTGAGTCCGGATGCCGGTGGCGCGAAAAGAGCCACTGCCATCGCTGATAGCTTGGGCATGGACTTTGCCCTCATCCACAAGGTAAGGTGAATGTGTTCGGTACACGTCTTGAAACTCACTCAGCGACTAGGAACGACGACCAACGCGGATCACGGATCGACAAAATGCGACGATGATGCTTGTGGGAAATGTTGCCAACCGAGTTTGTATACTGGTTGATGATTTGGCCGATACCGCCAACACCATTACACGTGCCGCAAAGCTCGTGCGCAAGGAGGGAGCCACGGCTGTCTACGCGCTCCTCACCCACGGTGTATTCAGCGGTGACGCCATCGCGCGCATCAATGCTTCAGCCATTGATAAGGCGATCGTGACCAATTCGGTTCCTCAGGACGAGCACAAGAGGCTATGTCCTAAGCTCGAAGTACTAGACGTGGCACCTATATTTGCCGAGGCCATCCGTCGTATCCACCACGGTGAATCCATCAGCGTATTGTTTCAATATGACTGAGCAGCCTCGGGGTTCGACAAGTGATGTCTCATATTCCAATCGTCGAGGGCCGCACCGACTGCGTAGGGTTATTATTGCGGAGACAGTCTGCCAGGACACCAATGACGAGTATGACAGGCCGCATTTTACCATTAGACGAATCCTTCGTGGCCACGACGATACAGTTGACGCATTTCCTGTTTGGGGGAATTATTTGGACCTGAGCCTCGAAGTTCAGTTTTAATCGTCTCTCGTTTAATATGGAATGCACTCAGCCACCAGCTATGGCTCCGAGTAAAGGTAGGCTGCACTTATTAGCTGGTTTACTTTTTTTTCCTACCGTCTGCCTATTGCGACTGGGCGCTTATGGTAATGGTTGGAGGTTCTCACGGACACCGTAGCATCTCATAGAGAGGAGTTTCTAGGTCGGGAAAGTAAGAAAACCTTCTCACAAGCCTACCTCACTGAGGATCGTAAATGCCATGCCGACCTGCACCAAAATTTCCGTCTGTGATTTGCATTGTGGTTAATCTTTATCACGATGATGCGGAGATGCTAAGTTACTATACAGCTGCCTATGTATAGGTACGGGTATAGGGTGTTATAAGGTCCTAGTTTACATACTAGTTCATATACTAAAGGGTGAGATTTGATTTCGGGGTTGCGTATTTTGATATACATAGACCGAGGGTGACTTGACCGGATACATCATCATGAGATTACTTTTAATAAAAAGAATTAGATTTACTAGATGAATATGCCTGAAAATAAGATTGTGTAGATCATGTTTAAAGGAAATGCTTTAAGAGCCAGTTTGTAACTTCAGAATCAGTTCATACCCAATGTCTTGGAGAAAGAGTAGACACCCAACTGCTATCGATAGATGATGTTGAATGAAACGGTAGTTGAGATGAAGTTGTGATTCACCGTTTTTTAGACATGAGCTTCCGTTGGCAGTTGAGGTATGTATGTAGGTACAATACCTACCTAGGTCAAACACAGTTGACTTTACTGTACCTAATTGAACTTACTCCGTTTTAGATTTAGATTCAGCCGTAACCAATGAGAGATTCCAATTCAAACATCGTTTAGATACGGAAAGGACACTAAACTCTGGGGGTATCAAGTGTAGGTACAATACCTACCTATTGTATGCCCGGCAAAACGTAGGGTGAAATTGCCGGCGCAATTGGAGTTATGATTCAGTGGACCTCGGCATGTGCTTCTTCGGTCCACTGCCTAGGTATCTTTATCTCCCAGCTTTATTCCGTCACTTATTACCCATACCCCATACCCCATACCGCCGGCTGTAACAGAGGTCGTTGGTAGGCATTGTCCCGTCCATTTCTCCAAAATCCGCATTGAATTCGTGACTAACGTCCGCAAAGTGAGATTTAGAACTTCAATATTCATTGCGGAAAGCCACAACTTTAAACTCTTTCCTTTCCATCTACACCGGCACAGCGGCTATACAGACAGACAAGGGAACTTCGACTACCACCGCACCGGCCGAGCCCGAAATATAGCGCAGAACGAGCGATTCTCGCAAACGTACCTTGTAGACATCACTACAAGCTGGTATCCCACATACAATTGATTGATTGTTCAACACATCACTAATCGTCGTCCCCTTTCTCACCCCTCTTCCTCGACACCTACAATAGTGTTAACAGCATACACAAAAAAAACAAAGCCACAATGGTTGCCGACGCAGTAATTTACCACCCCACGGTGTCGCACTACCTAAAATTCGTCGCGACAACCACAGGCCGCGACAAGCTCCTGCGCACAGTGCAGTACTTCGCGCGCTTCTACGCGTGGTACCTGTACCGCACGAACGGCACGCGGGGGGAGATCGCGCCGTACGAGGCCCTCAAGAAGCAGCTGGGGCTGGCGCGCAAGCTCCTGCGTCTCGGCAAGAACGTCGAGCACTTCCGGGCCGCGGCCGTAGCGGCCGACGCCATAAAAGCGGGAGGAGCCCAGGCCGGAGACCCCGTGCTGCGGTACGCTGCGGTGGGCAGGCAGCTCGGCTACGCGGGCTACTTGACCTTCGACGCGGCTACGATCCTGGATGCGCTGGGCGCGCGCAAGTGGGCCGGCGCGAAGAGGGCGCAGAAGGAGGCCTATCGGTTCTGGGC